AGCGTTGGAGAATATCCCACGTTCCGCGCATATCTAAAAAACAAGTTCCAGGTTACAGGTTAAAGGGTTGGCTGGAGGTGGGACGACGACGCTGACGATCTTTCTCTCATTCGCTCGAAGTCTGAAATTGACTCCGGCCGGCAGCGGGCCGGGCTCGAGGCGTTAGCAACAGCGCCCAGCCCGGGTCCTTATCGTGACTGAGACTTGTTCGCATGGCTGTCAAGGGGACCGCCCGCTCGGTCACCCGCAGTCAATTTTAAAGCGCTGTGTGGGTACGTGCGCGATCGAGTCGGCGCATGTATACGCGCGCGCCTCTCGCTCCCTCCACCTCTGCGTCTCTAGTCGCGATTGGTAGGCATACACAGGGTGTCGTGGAAGAACGCGCGCGTGTTCTATTCCGTTATTATTTTCCCGACTTTCTCGAGATCCGGTGCCTACGTTGGATCCACTCGTTCGTTCGTGTACCGATTAATTAATTGCCGGATCAAGATGTAGATGTCATTCCATGTCGCGATTAATCATGCCGATGGCCGCGTTTTCTCGTCGTAAAAATTCGACGGTGCTTTCGTTTATGCCTAATTTATGCGTATCTTCCGACACACCCCGTGGATATCGTTCGTGGGTGGTTACGGGGGAAGAGCTAACGCTGGGTTCACACAGCCGCCGCAGCTTGGCCTCGCGATCGAAGAGAGCCTTTCGCTTTATCTCGCCGCGTTCCTCTTTTTTCCTCGGCCGAGTCGAGTTCTCGACCGACCGTGAGAGTGCGAGAGAGAAGAGAGGAGGATCTGGTCAGCTTTTCGGACTTCGTCCCGCGCTCTCTCGCGTCGGGGTTCCCCGAAATCACCGTTAGACGTTGGCGAAACCGCAGAATCCATCTCGGCCGCAGTCTGATTAATTTGGTAACTTTCAAACCAGTCCTGACGACGCGCACGACGTTTGTATGCATAGCGCCTGTCGCATCTTCCGATCTCGAGGCTGCGATTCGACTTAACATTCGCGGAGAACGGGATTTTTTGCGCGTGAAATCGCGGCGCAGATCGAAATTCGCAATTCGGACGAATAAAGCAATATTAACAAGCTTGAGTGAAAGGTGCGTGTAACGATCAGAATTGATTCGACGCACATCTCGTTGGGAAGTGAAAACTAAGTGAGAATGCAAGATGCGTAGGTAGTAAACAAATTTTAGTTTTGTTAAAAACGGTCCACTGAAATCTTGTCTCGGGTCGAAATCCTAGTTTAAGTCTAATTTAATTCTACATTAAATGTTCAAAGGTCTTTTATTGTTCTTATTCTATGTATCTTTTATTAGCTCCTTTGGTATTACAAATTGAGAAGTTATTGTCGTTTTCTTCATTTGAAAACATAATGTAGAACTACAATTTAGGCTGTGGAGGACTTCATTTCCTGTGTAGCATTAAATAAGTATTTATCGTGCTCCTTTAGTATTACAATTTGTTTCTATTTTTCCCACTTGAATACTTAATGTGGAATTGAAAATTTCGACTCGGGATGTTACTTTAACATGGGGAATGTGTTAAAAAGTACACAGATATGTGTCAAAAAGTACAGAAAAATATAATGTTAAAATAACACGTTCACCTTGTCAACATATGTTGTCCATAATTGTAATAATATAACATTTCAGTAGATCGTTTTTAATATATAATATCAAATTATTTTTATAATATAAAATTTATAATATAAAATTTTATAATACAATACAAAATATAACATTTTATAACATAAAATAAATGTTTATAAAACGTTTATAATGTAAAATTTTTTATTGTGTATATTATGAATGTTTTTGAGGAAATTAAACGTTAACTTGCTTTGTAATTCGAGGATTTTGGCTTGCGGGATTCCCTCTTCCAGTCAGCCACATCGATTGTATCTGTTGTCGGATGTTTCCCGATGACTTAAGCGCCCGGATTAAAGACGATAGTCTCGTTATGAACGATCCTTACTACGTGAAAACGGCTCTCGGCTAGCGTCGTTGTCGTCAGCGTGTTGCACAGTTAACTGCTTTATCCTGGGAAGCCGGTGTTTTGGCTCATGATTAAACGACAAACGAGATTATCGCATTAAGAGGCGCGGATGCACACCTATTTTACGGTAAATTGACTTTGCGCGGCCGAAGATGACCGGCGGAACCAATCGCGGCTCGTCTTCGGTGTGTGTCGGCTATTTCCGTCGGAAATATACTCCGATTGACCGCAATTAACTGTTGGATGATCGGTTCGACAGAGAGATTATTATCGCAATTACTTCTGGCGATCGTTAAAACATCAGTTTTAGAATTTGAAGTAAAAGGTCAAAAATTAATTAAAAGAGACGTTTGTGGATGAGCAATTTTTTATCCGGAGATGGAAGCGAGCGAAAAGTTAAATTATTTGCGCAAAAAAAGGGACGAAACTCGATTCATATTTATTATATTTTTATTTATCGTATATTTTATTATGGAGAGAAAAGGATTTTAAATCTGGAAAAATGTATCAATCAAATAAAGAATATACGAAAACTGTTCTCGTAGAAATTTCACTGCGTGAAACTTTACTGTGTTATCATTGTTATTATATATAACCGTTCTAATTAAAAAGTGGTGAAAAGGAACAAGCAAGAGTTCACCGTCAATTACGCGAACGACCGTCGGTCATTCAATATAGTTGGCCTGTGTATTTTATTATTGCTTTCACTCGCTCCCTAGTTGCTATCTGCTCCCAACGAGTGCGTAGGAATTTTTCCGAGCAATTAAATGAAGCTCATTTTCGCGAATCTCTTTCTCATAAATTTCAAGGATTGAGTGCAACAATGGCTCATCTTTCCAAGCCTTTTTCCTTCGGTCAGAGAGAATTAATTCGAAAATCTAGTTTCGAATCCCCCCCCCCTCTCTCTCGACATTTTAAAAAGGCAGATTGAAATCCTCCACGGTTCTTAAACGGTCCGTCGCGAGTTTCATCCGATCGATCGTTGCGCATCATCGAGGAAGTTCGCTGTGGGAGACGCCGATACCGATTGGTTAATCGTTTTGCAAGAGCGTTTCACCGAGCGACGAGATCGGCTTGGCATCCGCTGTGTTCACGAGCGAACGAACGACTCGTCCGATTTCGCGGTGAAGGCGAAGAGCGGAATTTTAATTTAGCGCTTAATCTGCAGAATATGCAAATCGAAAATTCAAAAGTTACGAAAAGAGACAGCACAGCTCGTCGAAAAATCGTCAATTTCAATACATTTATTTTATAGATATATTGCTCGCTCAAACAAGACGTTTACTGCATAAATTTCCGAATCATAAAATTGTATTTATATATTCTTGTACATATACGCACTTTTGGCAAGTCTACATAATTATCTCATGGCAACCATAAACAAAGAAAAGACGATATCTGCTCTTCGAGCTGTGCTTATCGAGTGTTTCAAGTGGAATTTTTTATACGATTTTAAACAGATTATAAAATGAAATAAATTTGATAAAGAAAATTTCGATGAAATTACATTGAAAAAAGTATCTAACTACTTCATACAGTTAGAAAAATATTTACCATTCGAGAATTGCGATATTTGCAATTAAAGTTGGCACTTTCATATGTGTTCCTGTAGATTAACGTGCTATTTTAAACTTCTATTTTTAATATCTTTCAAAGAAGGTTTTAATAAGAAATTACTATAATACTGAAGACTAATCTGCGTACATTATGCTACATAAATTTCAGAATAATTGACCATTATATTTTGAAAATACAGTGGTCTGAAGTTCACAATTTAATAATGATATTCGAAATACATATGATATATATTTAAACACTTATATACTTCTTTCTATTATTTGCACACCTTTATTAGATTAATCGATGCATAAATATAGCATTAATAAGAAAAATAAAAAATAATATTTCCGTATTTGTAATATTATGTATATGTTTACCTCAACTTTCTTTCAAATTAACATTTATTATTTAAATAACGAAATAAATGTATAGGAACTTTTCTTGACAAATACATGACAAATAAATTCATGAATACTCTCTTGATGCGCCACTGAAAATACGACACTGAGCCTTACAATCTTCTTAATGTAATAATTATCCAAATTATATGAGAGCTTTCACGCATGAAATTTTTTCAAAGGAAAGATGGATCTCAAACTGTCCAAACAATAATCCACAGTTAATAATCGCACATGTTCTCTCGAACAGCCGGTGTTTCCTTTCATTCGCGTTCTTTCATCGAGTGCTTCCTCATCGCTGGATCCTTCTAGATTGTTAAAGGAATGCTCACTTGGTGATCCGCGATTCCTGCGAGGACGGGACTTTCCTCGACGCGAGTTCGCGAGTCGAATTACCGAATCCGACGGATGACCGTCCGGCGAAAGGAAGTCCGTTAGGTGTGCGCGAGGGATGCCTGTCTGAGCCTCGGTTCCGCGAGGTTTCCTCTCTTCTGCAGGTCTTCTCTCGCGTTCTATCTCGCGTCGCGGTTTCATCGATTCGCGCCTCATCTTGCACGAGCATAAGAAATCTCATAAGAAAAAAAAAAATCGAGCGTGAGCTCGATCGCTGCTGGATCGTAAAAGTAATGCTATCGAACCTCGCGGCTAAACCTTTCCGGAACGAGCGATCACGAGTGGCAGTCGATTAACCAAGGAACGAGCGAAGCTTGCCCGAAATTTTGTTTCACCAGAGTATTTCCGTTTAACGACGGGTCGCGATCGCAGATTACATCGTTCTTTCCAGCGAAACGCAAAAAATGAACATTTTTAGTGTCAAGCGTTTCGAATTCCGCTTACGGTAATAATCTGGTGGTAACTATTATAATTACCGTGACATACAACACACCGTACTATTTTAATAAATATAACAATTAGTATATAACGACCGGTCGTCGTCCATAGCGTTGTCGCGCGCATCATTTGTTATCGTTAATAAGATGTAGACGAATCAACACGCTTTTTATTGCATCTGAAATAACGATTATCACGCTGTGCTTTTCGTCCATTGTTTCAGGCACAGCGGCCGGAGCAGAGCGTGATGCAGGCCTTGGAGAGTCTGAATGATTCACAGGTGAACGACTTTTTATCCGGCAAGGCCCCGTTGAACCTGACGATGCGACTGGGCGACCACATGATGTTGATCCAGCTGCAACTGTCGACGGTAACCCCGGCCTCGCCGACTGCTGCTAATCAGACCGCGAGCTCGCCCGGTGGCAACAGTAACCAGAGTAACGTCAGTGGCTTGTCCAATAGCAGCGGCAATAGCTCACACGTGTCCAACTTAGCGGGCAGTCACGTCACCTCGTCGTTGCAGACTAGAAGATGTCCCGCGCTCACACGCTCGTCGAGCAGCAGCGGCGTCAAGTTGCAGAGCAACGGTGTGCCGGCCAGGACGTCGCATCTCATCAACAGCTTGGCGAACGCTCTGCACGCTGCCGCTAATTGCGGTACCAGTCTGTCCACCGCCACCACTACGACTACCACGACCAGTTCGCCGGTGTGCTCCGGTCGGACGACCTCGGCCGTCGTCAGCCAGACGACGACGTCATCTTGCAACAACAATAATAATAGTAACAACAACAACGCTCAGTCGCAATCGTCGCGCGGCAATCACGTTTCCCCCACCAGCAACGGCTCAACCGGCGGTAACGGGTCGTCCTGTCTACCCTGCCCGCTCTATCACCATCACCATCACACCAACCACCATCATCGCCTTCATCACCACCACTACCACCACCACCATCATCACTCGAGGGACAAGCAGCCCGGCATCAGATACTATTCCACTACCTTCTCCTCCGCCACCACCGCCTCTTCCTCCTCTGCCAACTCTTCTTCTTGCTCCTCTAACCACCCGATTCAGGACCAGTCTACCTCCAACAGCCACGGCTGCGTTGACCTGACCACTTACGACACGACGTCCAGGAAGAAGCTTTGTACCGGTTTACAGCAGCAGCAGCAGCAGTCCAACGGTATGGACGCCACGAGGAGTCATGGCGTCGTCATGACGGACAACGCCGAGTCGAGAGACCCGCAGAGCCCAACTTGCACGTCGCTGATGGAGCAGCCAGCTAAGCCGGCTACCCTCGACACCCGAGCACTCGCCGAAGCGTCTCGCAACCTCACGCAGAAACTCAAGCAGCTCTCCTCTGAGGTATTCACCTCGCGGGTCGACCTCGCAGAGGTATACATTATTACCGGAGCCAGTTGTGTACCATTGATTCGCGGACCATTGAGAGATATGCGCCACGACCGGGTCTGGTCTCTTCAAGGTGAAATGGTTCATTGATATCCGAGAATTCGAGTTTGTTGCATTGTCGGGCTCTCAAAACCATCGCGTATTGTATTTCGTGTAAAATGATTTTTTAACCCTCTAATGGTGAGGTGGGGTTGAGCTTCGTTTATCTTACAACATGCTGTTTCCTTTTTCAAAGAATGTTATTACGTAGATTACATAAAAAGTGAACAAAACAAGATCGGATCGTTTTCGTTGAAAATTCATCTTGCCATTAGACGGTTAAATTTGAGAAGAGAAAAAGAAACGCCAGAAAATCAGCGTGTCGTGACACTTAGGACAAAGATGAAGAGATGAAGTTTCTCGAGGACGAAAACACAACTTACATTCTTCTTCAAATTTAGGAAAATGCGAGACGCAGACAGGGGGCCATAATAGAGAGTATGCATCATCACGGCAAAGGTGTGTACTCCGGTACGTTCAGCGGCACTTTGAACCCGGCTCTTCAGGACAGACACGGCCGGCCCAAGCGTGACATCAGCACCATCATTCACATTCTGAATGACCTGTTGTGCGCGACGCCAGCTGCATCCGCAGGTCATTATAGGCATCACCACCACAGGCATTCGCACAGCCGTCAGCAGTCCTCCTCGGTGTCCACATCTTCCACGGGAACGTCAACAACTGCAAGTGGATCTACTACGTCGGTCGGTTGCCATGATTCCACCACGCCGGGATATTCTACTGGTTCGTAACTAAGTGAATATCTAATATATCTGTGTGTGTGTGTGTGTGTGTGTGTGTGTATAGTATTAGAGTACAAGAATTGAAATTAATATACTATAGGTAACGAAAGTTACCCAATAAACACTAACTATCAGTAATATAACATCAGTGTTGTAATTTTTCATTCCACAATGTAACTGTTACAAAACATGCGTTATATTGCATTTACATTGTGGAATGGGAAATTATAACATTGGTGTTATGTCACTGTTGGTGTTTACTGGGTACACAGTAACTGTGTGCAATGCTGTTCTTTATAGCTGACACTTTCTGAATCATCTTGAAACCTTCCTAGTTTCTTCTATCTTTCGACTTTTGTCCACTAAATGTCAAATATGTATCCATTTCATAGATTTGTTTCCGCCATTTTGTGAACACTTCAGTTCACCTCTTCAGGAAGAAGAACTATTCAGGTCGTTCCTTTTCTTGAAAATGCGGACTGAAACGTTCACGAAACATCGAAAACAAATTCACGAAGAACGCAACACCAACTTGGAAGTCGTCCAATCGAACATTTCTTCATGCTGAGGAAACCTGTTAGGAGGAAAAATATCAGATGCATTTACTTCATTTTAAGGTTGTTGGTCTATATGTTAATGTTCTTAAAAATCTTTTCAAATTTCTGTAGCATATCGACATATATAGTTACAAATAGATTGACCATATCAAAGCTAAGACAATTGAAGTCAAAGTTAGTATTATTATCACAGATATAAAAACAACTTCCGATATCATGTTTTTAATTCTAGCTACTGAACTATTCTTATGGTTTTAATGAAAAACAAGAAGGCAATAAAAGAGAAACTATAAAAAATTACAAGATCGTTGACCGTCTTTTCCAGAAATTGATATGTAAAATATACGAGATCTGATAATGCTTCAAGTCTACAGTGGACAATGATTTGTCTCTTCCTAGATACAGTGAAGCAAATTTTCAAGATGTGCTTATCCCGTTCTATCTAAAGGAGTCATCATGCAAAATTTGTCATGCAGGCTAATATTAGAGATTAAGGATCAAAGATTGTGAATTATAAATCAAACTTTGATGAAACAAGTAATTTTGATCTTGACTCGTGTTATCCCAATTGGTCAAGTATCTAATTTGCTTTTCTCATAAACATATTTCTGTTTAGGTTAGGTTAAAACAGGGGAAGCATTTTTTAAGGTTTGTTTTTTGTTCCTGCATTTGTAACGCATGCGTTATGCTTGTAACGTATACGTTAAAAGTTAAGGAGAAGACTGTATAGTTCAAGTAGTATGTGTTCCGATGCTCACTCTCAGTACTGCAAATCTATAGTTTATGTACGTGTACTATAGATTTGTAGTACTGGTAGCAAATATCGGAATATACATTTCTTGGACTACTACAGTGCCCTTATTCTGTAACTTTTCTGTAACATACGTGTTATAGGCATAACGCATGCGTTTACAAATCTTTGTGCAGACATTGTGCAGAAAGTGTATCATAAAATAATTACGTAATAATACGTTAATAATAACGAAATTTTCGTTATAGAATAAGGAGGTAGAGACAAAAACAAACCTTTAGACTTTTTTAGACTTTTGTTTCATTAGATCTAGGGAGGGAATCATTACATACGTTCAGCAGAACAGCAACTTACTAAACTGCTTTGTGATTATTACTTTTGATTAGTACATTCTTCTAGAGATCCGCGGAAGATTTAAAAGAATGTTCCAATCATGGACAATAATCATAAAACACTTGGTTTTTTCTGCCGAACACAGACATTATCCACGGGTGTATGACAGTTAACTTGTAAAGATTTGGCAGTATTGTATACGCTATATTTCCCATTGTACTTCTTAGCTTAGACATCTTTTTAAAGAAAGAAAGCTCCTGTGGTCCCTCGCTGCAACAGCGTGTGCAACTCGCTGCAATCCTTGTTTGATGAAGCGAGACAACGCATGCAAAGAATTCTTGCGTTACACGTTCAAATAAAAAAAAATATATTCACGACACTTGTGATCGATTCAGTACACTTGTAAAATTATTCGAACACTGTTACTCGAAGAATCGATAAATAGTCACAAAATTAACTTGACACAAAACCTTTCAATCTTTTTTCTCGTGATTTTGTCAATGTTAATTTTACGACTGTTCGTTGATTGTTCGAGTAAAAGAAAAGTATTCGGACAATTTTACAAGTGTGCTGAGTCGATCACAGCTGTCATTTTGTGAGTACATCTTTTTATTTGAATATGTTAAAGCGTAATTACATAAAGGTGGATTGAAATTTGATCAATCAGAGCAAAGTTCACTAAATTTAAGATTAGTAAACTTTGCTCTAATTCAATAAAATTTCAACTCAACCGCAATCCTAACCCGTAGTATGATTATTCCTTAATGCAAGAATTCTTTGCATGCGTTGTCTCGCTTCATTAAACAAGGACAGTTGCAATGAAGGACCAGAAACCTTAAGGACCGTCTAATTAAAAGTAAGCAATAATAAATAAAAGGCGTCTACATTGAAAATAAGCAATATTAAGAGTATTGGTTAGTAGTAAAGCAGTAGAGGAGGGAGTAAGAAATGGGAATGCTCCACTTCGCTTATTCCCGATATTATATTTTATTCCACTGAAAAATCTCTTACTCCTTACTTCGCAGTGTTATTACTTCCAATGTAGACGATCCTTTAAATAACCCTACAGATTATAGACATAGTTATAGCATAGATTTGTGGAGCTTCTTTACGAGTGTCGTATTAACCACGACCTTTCTAACAATATTGTCACGTACCTCAAGCGCGACTTGGTGTCAACTATAAAAAACAGATCTACAATGTAAAATAAGTGCGATATCAGTGCTGATACTATCGTGATACTCGGCCTGCAGAGGAATTATCGAAGGAGAACGAGGCGACGAAGGGCAAGATGCGTCGTCTGCGCTTAGTCATGGAGCAACGTCGCGCCAAGAGGAAAGCCAGACGACAGGCGCGGGCCGCGCCATACACCACGCAGTGGGCGGCTGTGACACCCGCCGATCCGAACCACGAGCCGAACACGTCGACCGCGGGCACCGGCACCACCAGCACCAACAGCGCGGAGCCGCAGAACGAGCCGGAGCTCCCGCCGTGCAGTCCGGAACCGGTCGTAGCTTAAACAATTACGTCACCAGTCAATTCTTGACGCAGTAATATCCTCTATTGTGTAGATACTTAGGATAATTCTCACGTTTCTTTGGTTTTTTTTCTCTCCTGTTTTTTCTCTGTCTATCGCACTGATTTATTCCATAAAAAAATGCAAGGATAAGGGTCCTACACACACACACACACACACGCGCGCGCGCGCGCACACCTGTATACTTTCACCGCGGCCACCACAGTTCCTCTCGTGCCTTGAGCTCTACAGTATGCTGGAGTTGAGCCTTCCTTGTACTAAACTGTAGAAATCTGCGGCTCGCCGAAGAATAGATTGGAGGGACATCTGTCTCTTTTGTACATATTACTGTGACAAAGATAAGGGTATATCTAGCGCGTAGAATAGGCTGAGCATTGCCATTGAAGAGCTGAAGTCAAGGTCGAAGGACAGAGATATGTTAATAGTGTCTATTTTCTTTGTCACACAGTATTACAGTAGGAGGGGGCGATATAGGGGAAGCAGAAAAGTGAGAATGAACATAGCGACAGAAAGAGAGGAATGATGTGCATTAGTTTATGTGAGAAGACATAAATAATACGCATGTGCGCTCGTAGTTACTGGTTCATAATACTTATGTATCGTTTCTCCTCGTTCCTTCCACCAGCTGCATAATTAGACAATGAAAGCATCGCTGGCTTTATTGCCCTCTCTTACTAACGCCAACTTCAGCTGTCCAATGGGAGTGCTCAGCCTATTCTACGTGTCCAGCATGTGTGCATCCTTTTCTACGAATGGGACACCCCCACTCCTTGGTGGCTCACTCTATTATACTATAGAGCTCAATGGTTTCGTGCGAGTCGTATTCTGAATCCACGCGTTCTTCTGAAACGCCGCAACGTTTCTCACAATCGGTCTGATCTCGTTGCTTTTTTATCTCTCTAACTGTCTGTCTCGAAATATCGTTATCACAGATCTACCGAGTTTCTGCAAGTGTCTCCCTAACGCGTTACCTTGTGATGTGTAAAACACGCATGAGACAAACGGACGGACTGGAAGATCCGAAATGGTCCTTTCCTCCCCCCTTCTCTCTCTTTCTTTCTCCTTGAAATTCTCCGACTCGAGATCCGGTTTCAAACGTCGGTGCAATGCACGGCGATGCGTCGTTCGCGCCGATCCGCCGGTTGTCGGAACGCCGATGTTTCGCCGCAACATCCGGCTAGGATTCTCTCAGGACTTTCGATCGTAGCTGACAATAATTGCGAATGAATCAGTGTGACGCTTATGTATCTACGCACATCAGCCGCGCGCGGTCAAGGAGGTCGGTGGAATCCGCTCGAGGAAGCGGAGGGGTCCTAATCGCGAGAGACTTCCCCCCCCCCAGGATTAAAACTCGACGGAGGCGCGCGAAGAAAAGCGACGGTGGTGGAAGGAAAAGAAAGAAGACACGCGGGGCGTGATCGTCGTACGTTGTAACCTCGTTACACGTTCCATACAGCGATAAATAATTATTCTCTCGTTATCAGGCGTTTTTAATCGGAGTCTCTTATGCGAGTAGATACGTGTAGAGAGATACCTTAATCGCGCGCGTCGGATCGAGACCGTCTCCGAGAAAGCAAATGGCCCCGTCTCGACGGCAAATTGTAGCCGCGCGGAACAACGGAGAGTAGTAGAAGCTGTGTTATGATCCTCGCGCGGAACCTGTGCAAGTCTTTGTATTTTGTCCCTTACGGACCGGTTGATCTAAATCGTGATCTTCGTTTTTCTTTTTTGTAAGTAGCAAATGCACCTTCCGTCAAGGTTTTTATTTTGCGACAGGATGTGTATGCAAGATGTAAAGGGAAGCTTATTTGTTGAGCCGCGGAGAAAATGATCGGAATGTTCCGGTGAAAAGAAAAAAAAAACTGAAGTAAAAAAATCGGCAAAATTAGAAAAAAAAACAATACGTGCTGCGAAAGAAGAAAGCGGGAGAAATCAGCACAGCCGGGGAAATTTTTTTTTTTTTATGTAATTCGTAAGACGATGATCCGAGAAGATGAGGGCAAACGGGAGATGAAATGGAGCGCACCGAGTGTGTATGTGTATGTACCGTATCGAGGTGGAACATGAAGCGGATCAATCGGCTCGGAAATGGGATGCTCATATCAGTTTACTTCGCGGAGCGCGAAGCGTTGCGCACGCGAAGTTTCGACAGGCGCGCCGGTGAATCGTTTCCGGACACTCGACTGTGTTGCTCCCCCCTCGTCAGGAGATCACGCTACATATTATTCTTTAAGAAAGATTACTGGAGGAGGAGGGGGAGCGCTTCTCGACGAAGTTCGAAAGGGGCGAATAAGACAGTTCTGTAGTTGAAGTTAGGCGATCGTACTCCGCATGGAATCGTATCATGTACGGAGTTTATGATCCGTTTAAGTTAACTAGGTACTAAATAATACAATGTCACACAACACACACACACACAGACACACATACACACACTAATAGAGAGAGTACATTGCGTTTAGGTTTTACTTAGGGGAAAGAAGAAAAAATATTATTACCATTATTACATTATTATATATATATAAATATATATATATATATATATATATATATATATATATATATATATATATCGTTAGTACAGCTAAAATTTTTGCAAAACCGGCTCAACAATGTAATATACGACTACCTTTATCAAATACCAAAATAAATAAGATTGCTTGCTAAGCTAAGGGATAAAAAAAAAAGTTTATTTCAGTCTTGTTCTTGGAGTGCGTGTTGAGGTGACTCTCGTGTGTTACGTGTGCGTTTATTATTATTAATGTTTATGTCATTTCAGCTATGTTGTTCATTATCGGTCGATTCTTTATTCTCCGCTCTTATCATCCACGCGATTAGTCGGGAGAAAAGACAAGAGGTTCTCGATGGAAAGCTTTTCTCCTCGTCGTCGGTCGATAAGACGTTTAAAGGGTAAGAGAAAAAAGGAGAAGGAGGGGTGAATGAGGGATCCGAGAGAGTTCAGCGAATTGGGAAGATTAAAGTTATCTACCGTAAAATTGTTTATTTAAATTATGTCTTAAATTACGTATAATCGTATAAACCTATCGACGCGCTTAAGAGTTTACGCAATACGCTACCATAGTTTTATCGTACTTCACATTTTCTTTGCGGTATATCTAACGACAATACAGTTACAGTTTCGAGGGGAAAAAAAAAGAGAAAAAAAAGAAAGGGGAAAGTTAATATCATCTCGAAGAATCAGATTTGGCAATATCATTACATGCAGTTCGCCGTGGGCGTAAAATTCGCGATGCTTTACCCTGGAAGGGAGCGCTCCGGCTCCGTGCATGATAATTGATAAAAATCGCTCTCTCTCTCTCTCTCTCTCTCTCTCTCTCTCTCTCTCTCCTCGACGGGTCATCATCGTCGGTCCGGAGAGGTTAAATACGCTAATAGTCGATGTAAAAAATCGCGATCCACGCAGCGCGATAACACCGGGGTACACCTTACACCGTATAAATAAAACGCTGCAACAACGTGCGCCTCGAATGTGATCTTCTTTTCGTTGTGTCAAGTAGAAAGGCAAGATGTCTAATACTGATAAAAGAAAAAAACGAATTCCTTCGGAGACCACCGTTTCGTGGCGCTCGTTCTCTTTCCCACAATCTCTCTCTCTCTTTCTCTCGTGCGCGCGCGCGCTAGTACCTCGACTGCTTGACGATTCGTCCTCGCGGTTAAGCCTGTACCTCGGTAATCGTCGGCTCTTTCGAATGACGCGATTTTACTTCTTTCTGCGGGAAAAATCTCTTGTTCGATGTGCGCTCGCTACGGAAAGCGCGCTTAAAATTAATTGGTTCTTTGCTCCGGTCTCTCTCTTTTTCAGTCGATCACAAACGGATTACTTTATACAAACGCGGTCTCGACGAACACGATTCAACTACCTAGAAAATTTGGCTATAGGACTGGGGAGGGGTATTTCCCTTTCTATATCTCTTACTCAGCTTACGCAAACGTCCAGCGAACATGCGCAATGTAAATGTGGGAGAGAAGGGGGTACTACGTTCACGTTGGAGCGGATGTACGAAATCCAAGTATCTCGTACTGCAGTAGTTTCGAAGGGTCCTCGCGATTTTACTGAATGGACAATGAGAACACACTCTTCTGTCTTTCTTTCTTTCTTTTTGCCTACCTAATATTTAAAAGATACTTAAACGACATATTTCTGTGAAATCTACTGTTGCCGCCGGTAATGTCACCGATCGTCCTTATATTTTTCTAAACGTACACAACGTGTGAGAGAAATTAACGAAGAGCTGCTCCCCCCGTTAAACTTGACGCCGTGACGATCGTCCCTGCAAAAAGTATCAAAAAATGCTAGTAAACACTTCTCGCGCGCGCAAGTCGTGCATGAAAAAAAGTCACATACTCAAATCTGTCGGTTCTCGAGTGTGCTCTCTTCTCTCCCGCTGCGTGTGTAACGGTAAGAAGTTCGCAGGATCTTGGAAGTTTTCGGACACGTACGTACAGTGTGTTGTACCAACATTTGGGTCGTCGCGACGGATTGTCTGGCTGTTTCATGGGCTCGTTAGGCCTTGACGGTGTATTCGCTTACGCAAATTCTTTTCCGAACGAAAATTTGTGCAACGTTGAGACCCACTGAATTCGTGCGAGAGCGCGAGGGTGAACAACCCGTCTCAATGATCTATAGGGTGTTCTGCGAGAAAACCGACAAACTTCTAAAATGTATCCTTGAGATAATTCTGAATAAAAAAGTTCGGATACAGTTAAGTCAATTCGGCCCACAGTTATCGAAATATAGACAATTTTATTAATGTTATAACAGGCGAAAAATACCAGACATTTGTAGCTTTTATTAGGTAAATATATTATTCTCATGATCATATTCAGAGTTGCCACAGAAAAAGAATTTTAAAATTCCCTAATTTCTTTGCGCTCTTCAGACAACAATGGAGAATTTTCCATGATACCAAGATGTTACTTAAATTTCAACGTTTAGATGCAATCTCCGCAGGGACCATTTTGGCGTCATGGAAAATTCTCCACTGTTGTATGTGTTGTGTTGAAGAGCGCAAAGAAATTAGGGAATTTTAAAATTCATTTGAAGATTGCAGGAAAGGTAGTTTATATTACTAGAAGAGAGCAACACAAATGTTAGATATAATATTCAAAAACATTCCAAGCACTCTTTAGAATAAAAAGATTTAAAGGAATTCAAAGCAAAGTTCAAAATTTCAGCCTCTTTTATATCTTTCTCTGACTTTTCCAGGTTTTCCTTGATTAATATAATTTCCATGACTTTTCCCGGGACAACCCTAAATATTCTTTGTTCACCTTCTGCTCATAAACATGCTGCTGCTCGTTGTATTCGAAATCGCCAGTTAATTTGTCCAAGTTCAATACGAATATTACTTCCATTATTTTTTCAACTAACTATTGACGAGTCTCTAGCTCGCCGCTATTGCATACATGAGATTTCAAAGTGTATAAATGATTGTATAAATGAAATTTCAAACAACATTATAAAAGAAGTCTAAAACGAGCCGGGACTATCATTATCCGGAAATTTGCGTTACTGACAAGAATTAAAGAGTGACTGACTTTTACTTCTGCCTGAGCACAATGGGACACAGTTGAGACCGGCGCCAATTGAAAGCTTTTGAAACGCTGAAATAGATATGTCAAATTAAAATCGGCCAGCATCTATCTCGTCCCACAATATTTTTATTTTTAAGATTGAATTGACCGAAGAATCGTCTACAGTTTATACCTGAGCTATGTCATAGCTGCATTGTCTCATTTTTGCATTTCTCATTTGTGTTCTCTATTTTTCGGAAGTAGAGTGCCTTCTAAATGTTCTAGACAAAGTCTAGTACTAAATGGTTAATACAGAGCTTGAGATAATTCGAAATAAATGTTCTTTTTTAATATATATTAATAAATATATATATTTTCTTCTAATAATATCAATAAATTTATATTCTTTTCTATTCATCAATAAGTGGGACAGAAAAATGACCATTTTAAAAATCAATCTTTTTTTCATATGTCGATAAATGAGCCAAATTGACCCACAGCGTTATCTGAACGCTTGGAATGACCTCTGGAACAGATTTTCGAAGTTTGTCGGTTTCCTCGCGGATCACCCTGTACACGTCTGTGCAATACCTGGTACGTGGAAATAGCACGTCGTTCGTGATAACGTGTGGTGCGATATGTGCGAACATTTCTCATTCGGGTGATTCCGTGCCGATTTGCTACATTGTTACCTCGTTGAAGCGTGCGAGTGAAGCGCTCGTCTTTACTCTTGCGTTCGGCAGCTGCGCTTTCCTCAAACAAGGGGTACAAAATGGACGGGATAAAGCACAGGCGCGGAGAAAGGAAGGCGTACACGGTATGTATACACGTTTTACAAACAGTACAGCCAGCAAATTCAAGATCTTTTTTCATACTTCTTTCCGACGAGTCTCGCGCGTCCAATAAGAGAATTTAATTTTTGGTAATTCTCGGGAGATAACATTTTCTCGATTACGTTACGATATTCATTGTCAGTACTGAAAATCTACAGTATACGTGACAAACTATAGAGATACATAACTAACGATTTTTAGTACTGGCAGTGCATTTCGGAACGCAGCCCTTATTAGGTACGAAATGCGTTGTGAAACTCGTCGGGAAAAAATTGTTGTATCACTTTTAGGCTGGTGTTCATAGTCGAATCTTATACTTGAAACCTTTTTATAAATACTTTACGGCTCATCTCATTGACTACGAAGCATCTGAGACGGTCTCAAGAGGATTTTGGAGTCGTCCAGTTTTAACGCAAATTTGTCGTTATTGGCTGCATAAAATCCTTTTGCGCAATACACACGTTAATGCAGGCAGTTGACTTTATTTGAAAAACGAGAAGAAGTTTCATAATTTATTTCTTCGTTTCATAAGTTAACATTTTTTCGTTTCTCGAACAAGGTCAACTGCCTACATTAACGTGTGTATTGCAATTCTACAAAAGGATTCTTAATTCTGTGCAGTCAATAACGACAAATTTGCGTTAAAACAGGACGACTCCAAGATCTCCTTAAATACAAGATCTGATTATGAATACCGGCCTTAATCCACCGACTGTGTACGTCGTCGCGCGTCCGCCGGGATACGACGCGCTCACGCTGCGCTATCGATTAAAAACTAATTAATTAATCTCTGATAAAATCAACAAAGCGTAACGTAAAGCGCGAGCAAACAACTACAGCCACGGTAGCCGAGCGGACGCGATCTCCGTCGCGCGTAAAAAATCTCTCTCATTATGGCACGATGTTGGTGCAACGACGGACGGGAGCGTCGTCATGAAGCTCTCGCCCGCTCGCGGACGTGCGGAAACGATCTCTCTCTCTTTTTCTATATGGGTTTTGGCAGTTTCGATTCTTCACGACAGCGTCGCGCGCGCACAAAAAAATCGCCCACCTTGCGGCCGGCTGGTTTGTCTTTCGCCGCTCTCGTAAGATACCTCGCGAAAGAAGATTGACACTTCGGCAAGCGACGTAGCATATTTATCGTTATCATAAAAAACACGCGAAAAAGTGGCATGGACTCTCATTGCGAGTAGCAAAGTGCACCGAGATTAAAGATTGCATTCTTCCGGAAACTGGGAAAGCAAGCTACGATCAATGTTTCTCTTATCGGTATTGAAGACTCAGAGAGTCTCTGGCAGAGACGTTGAATGTTAAGGTGGGTATATATTGAACAGACGAACGAGTGAGTGCGTAAAGGTGGTGTTCAAACTAAGCGAACGAGCATGAACAAGGAACGAACATCAGCGTGTATCTGTATAGGTTGATTCAAACGAACGAACGTCCGAAGAACGCGAACGAGCAATTAGAATTCGTTGGGGTTCTCGATACAGCCACTCGTGTGAAATTTTCTAAAATGTCCGAGATTTTCAACAGTAGATCTTTCAATAAATTACACGCACTGTATTTGTTTCTGCTTCGAAAGGCAAATGTCATCCACCAATCAGCGTTTTTGTTTCACTCTTTTTTTCTTCTTTAATGCTGACGTTTCATTTGTGATTATAATTTTATTTTATTTTTTTGCTTTGCATAGCACTTCTCGTTATAAATAATGTGCTGATCTGCTTCAAAAAAGAAAGTGAGCCGGAACAACAATAAATACCCAAAGAATGATGCCACTGCCTCCGATGTACGACGATCCGATAGGAGATTTCACTTTTTAGTGTTTCCAACTACTCAGTCGACACGCTTAATTGCAGCTGTATAACTTCAAATGTAATAATAACTTCATATCGATGTTATAATTTCGTACTCAACAATGTAACTGCAATATAGTATATGTAGCAATATAGAAATATGTAACAGTTACGTTAACGGAACGTAAAGTTATTGTTATATTTGGAGTTATGTAGCTGCGATCAAACGTGTCAACTGGGAAGCAACATGTTTGTCTCCAAAAAAACGTCTCCAGAAAACTGTTCTCTTATTTGATATCGGACGTCGTATGACAGACATTGGATACAACGTGAATCCCCCATGAAATTCTAACTGCTTATTCGTTTAGTGTGGATCAATTTATTAGACAGGCCGATCGCGAACGAGGGCGACTGAACAAATTTTCTTTAATATACCGACACGAAATGGAATACGTTTGTAATGTTCATCCGTGCCTGTTCGCGGAGCCGTCCTCACTAACTTTTTCCAATTTGTTGGCAGATGTTTCTTCATATTCATTCACGGTTTGTTCATTCTCAGTTTGGACAATTTTTCGTATAAATTTCCGTTAATAACCGTTTGTATTCATTTGCAAACGTTTATTCGCGTTTGTTCGTTCGCTTGGTCTGAATCCATCTTAAGATAAATGTATGATATCCGCGTTATTATGTATTTGATCACGTTAACACGTTCCTTGCTGCCATTTTCCTATAAAGTCATCAGAATAACCAACATGAGAAAATGTTATAACTAAATAAATTGTTGTCCTTTCTTTTAATAGTTACTGTGATAAAATTATAAAACAAAATCATATATGCAATATTGGCGAATGGCACGGAAACGCTGAAGAAATCCCTGAGCATTCCCGAATGGTAGTCACGAAACGTATCAATTTATGTGTATATTCGCGTTATAATATATATACTCACGTCTAAGCGCGAACTTTCTTTGATAAATCATCATGTAAGCAAATCGGCTCGAGAAACTTGGACTTTGGACTTATTATGGCGCACATTTTCCAAATTGCAAATTTCCAAACGATTCGTCCCTTATTTGTTTACTTAAAGTATACCCAGCTTTACGCGACACAATTCAATGGGTTTTCGCTGATTGCCACTCACAATGCAGGAATTGTTTGCGCTTACGAGACAATTTCTCAACCATTTGGAACTCAAACTGGACCTACAATGCGATCGCAGGATTGTACAGTCGTAATTGTTCGACTCGGTCTATTTCTAATTCTAGCGACCACGGCCAATTGAATTGCCGGAATTGAATCAACTTGAAGGATTACGATTTTACGATTTTACGACTGCCAACGACCGCATTGTAGACCTAGTTTAAGGAAATTCCAAAGTAGTCCTGTTTTACTACTAATTTGTTAGCACCATAAGCTCAGAATTAAAAATTCTTTTGCACAATTACAATACATATATTAATGTAAGCGACGTCGATTGACTTTGTTCGAAAAACGAAAAAAAGTTTTATAATTTGTTAATTTTTTTCGTTTTTCGAATAAAGTCAACCATCGTCATCTACATTAACGTTTATATTGTGTGTAATCCCACAAAAGAATGTTTAATTATCTGCAGTTAGTATAGTACTAACAAATTTGCGGTAAAACTACACGACTCTCCAGAATCCCCTTGAGAAAGTTCTTCTCGGAATCGTTGCGCGAGCCAGAGGGCAATATTCATTGTCAAATTTTACATTTAAAATGGTCTCAAGTTCAGATACTATACAGATGTTTCAACGTCTATAAAGCATCTAGAGACGAACTTGAGACGATCTTAAACGTAAGACCCTTACGTTTAAGATCGTCGTCTTTTGATCACGCAATTTTTCTCCTAGGGCGGAAATGTGAAAAATGAGATATTTTTAACCTGTTAACCGGGGGATAAATTTTTTTTTGTTCGCGTTCAAAATATTACGGCAAATTTCCATGGCGAAAAATGTCGTCATGCCCATTGCAGCAGTAGTTCGTGTATGACGAAATATTTCGTCATACCCAGTTAACAAGTTAAATTAGAAAATTTCACACTTTTCACGAGTTCACGCTAAATGAGACTCTCGGGGGTTGGTCATGAATCTTCTTCTCCAGCATGAATTCGTGAGAAGTGTAAATTTCTAATTTGAAAATATTTCACTGTTCCCGTTTCCGCCCTACGAAAGAGTTACGTGACCGAAAGAATTGAATACCGGCAAGAGTCCGCTCAGGTTACCGCTTGCCAAAATATCGATCCCGCTTCTCTTCCCCGAGGCAACGCCCGGTGCACGCGCGTGTCGCTCTAGAAACTGACGTCGACTGGCGTCCCAGTCGATAAGCTTTTGATCGAGAACGATTCTCTAATACAAATTGATCTTCTTCGTGATCGTCTTACGGCACATGTGACAGGTCCTCAACGGCGCGGCACAGTGCTCACAGGCGCCGTGTCCGCACAGGAAGGCGACGTTACGATGGCGCTCCATGCAGATGCTGCACATATTCGCCTCCTCAAGGTCCGCGACTCTGGTCTCTAGGTAACGCAATCGCTCCAGATCCTTGTTCTTCTCCTTCTCGCTGATCTCCTCTTTTCGTTTGCCCTCAGGCGATTTGTCCTCCGGATTAGCTATGGAAACCTCACCCGCCGCCAGTTGACCGTCTGGAAAAACGCACGGAAGTGTATGTGAAATCTGTTCGCGATAATTTCACGAAATATTTAAATCATTACACAGCCTGTTTCGGCGGTATCTCTACGACCTCACATAATTCTTTGAAAACGGGAGTTGCAAATAAGCGATTTGGTAATCGGATTCGTTAGATGTATCGAAAATAGCCTTTTAGTTACAAAGTTGGTAACTAACTTTGCTGTATTCCGTAATATATCAGCTGATATTATGATTTTCATCTATCTTGTCCAATCCTCTTTATCGATCTTTATTTATGATTATTTTTTATAAATAATGAATTTACTTTTATTTGATCAATTATTTTCAAGTTCAAGTGAAGCTCTAAAAGTGACGAAGACATAATAAATATTATTTATAAAAGTAACAAAAGTAAATCATATCAGAAAAAACAAGAATTTAAAATTTTATTGAAAGTGTAATTCGTAGTGTGTAATTCGTATATGAGTACGACGATGAAGAATTTCGAGAGAATTTTCAACGTGTATATAGAATTAATTTACTTTTATTGATTATTAATCTATGCGTACATATGCAAGCGAAAGTTAAATTAAAATATAAAATTTATTTAATAAATTAGAATATAACGTTTTCATAAAATCAGAGTAGAAAATGAATATTAGAATGCGACGTTTTCAATTTTCAATTATTTCTTAATTTTACATTTTCAATAAAATTGTGAATTTTTGTTTTTTACTGGCATTATTTTTGTTGCTGCTTTCATAAATGATATCGCTTTCGTTTAAACTTGAAAACAATTAATCGAATTTCAGTAAATTTTAGTAAATCCTTCTTCTTCTTACATTAGGTCTTAAAGGCCTGTGTTTCCTCTCACTCATATGTTTGTGGTGCGTATGTTGATTATGCACAGACATATGGGACCTACACAGTTTAACGCTAACTCCGAACAGCATATTTGCGAAAGGTTCTTTCGGCAGATGTACACTCTCTGGTGGTGGAGACTTGTCCAGAGGAGACACGAGCATATATAAATTTTTCCGGTTCTGCCGGGAATCGAACCTCTAGTGTTGCAGACCAATGCGCTGTCTGCTACATCACGCTCGCGCTCTAGTAAACCCACTTTTTATAAAAAAATGATTGAATAAAGATGGTAAAGTGGCTGATGGACAAAGTAGATGAAAATTTTTATACGATTTGTTAATCCGTTAACCTAGCAAAATTAGTTACAGCATTACCAACTTTGTAACTAAAAAGGATATTTTCGACACATTTGAAAAAAACTCACCCCAGATCAGCCAGCCTGAACCGAGAAAAATCAAACGAAATATCAGTGTAAGGAAGGCATAACGACTGTTTTTCAGTATAAAATTGTCGTCATTCTACGAACTAGTTATATATAATATTGTGACTTCCGGCTGGGGCACAGACTTAATAAATTATTTGCAACTCTTGTCCTTAAAAAGTCAACATGTCGACTGCTACTGAAGTCACCGGTGATTTGATTTTGCCGCGTCTGATTGATTTACACGTAAAACATGATTAATCGCATCTAACAAATTAAATATTGTCGATAAGCAACTAGGAAAACTAGCTAACGACTATATACATTAGAAAATGTATATGTTCGCCGTAACTTCACTTATTCACAACACGATTGCGCGCACTTAAACCCTACTAACACTGCTGCCCGCTTTGTTGAAAATTTATCATGTCGTCGTAATAGATTTCTGACAACGGCGCAAAAAGAACTGTTCACCTGTTATTGTCGCGGGAACGTTCGCATGAAATTATCGTCATTCTTGAAAAAAAAATTCATAGATACGCGACTTCTTTTGAAAAATTTTGCCCTCAATCGAACATGCGAACTTCGAGTCACGAATAAACAATGGAGAAAAAATAACGAATGTCGATGAAAAACATGCATAAAACGCGAGGTGCTGAAAGTTTTAATTAAGCTTCGTGACAATCAATGAAAATCATCGTGGCGGGCAACGTGTTAATGGCGGATTGTTCGCCCAATATGGAATCGATTTCTTTCGAGAACGATCCTTAAGACGACTGGTATCGTGAGGGGTCAGTGAGTAGGCGACGAAACATCCGGTGCATTCCTTGTGACCTGCAGTAAAGTTGCGTACCTTGAGCCGTTTGCTTCTTAACGATCGCATGGCCGCAGTGCGCGCAACCAACGAGCGCGCTGTCCGAGTCAAACCGGTTTTCTTGCTTCGAGTCGGGTACGATCCCCGAGCAATCCCGACACTCCGCATCGGCGCCGGGAATGCTCTTCCTAGCATCGCGCGATCCTTCCGACGGCGATATGCTATCTATCCGACACGTAGACGGCTCCACGTAACCGGTCGATGGATTATTCTCTATCCTGCGAAACGAATTGTCGAAAGTCATGATCGATTCCCTCATTTGGAGAGGAACAATGGCGCGTTTAAAATCGGTCATAAATTAGGCCTTGCAGCGCGATGAACTCAAGCTGATAGAAGTTAAGACTCCGATGATACACGATTAATAATAACAATGAATATAAAGGCGATGGCAATGAATATAAGAGTCAAACGTCGATGTAATAGCAAATGTTAGATTTAAACTCTTATATTAGCTAAATCGGAAAGTTCCATCCGTTTTTTTTTTGTAAAAAAGTATGATTTAAGAAACAAAATGAAAAAGTACATCAATCAAAATATTGTCCATCGTTAGCGAAGACTTTCCCCAACTTTCGGGCAGCAAGCGAATTCCGCGGCGAAGGAATGACTCATCTTTGAAGGCTATCCAACCAATTTTTCGACGTCTTCATAAGAATTGAAGCGTTCCTCAGCGTGTGCCATCGACCGAAACAAGTGGTAGTCGGAAGGGGCACAGTCTGGTGAATAAGCCGCATGGGGTAGCACTTCCCAGCGAAGTGCTTCTAACGTTTCCTTGACAAGTTTTATGACGTGAGCGTTGTTATGAAGTAAAATCACTTTATGCTGTCTCATTTCTGGTCCTTTTTCGTGCAATGTTCGGCTTAAACGAATAATTTGTTCTCGGTAAAGATGCCCTGTGTCTGTTCGACCAGATTTTAACAGCTCATGTGTACTCTATGCTCTTCTGATCCCACCAAATACAGAACATTGCCTTCTTTCCGTGGATATTTCGCTTTGGCGTCAATCAGAGGATTGGCCGGGGTTGAAAATGGTTTTTCGACGTTTGGGGTTATCAAAATATATATCCATTTTTCATTCCCAGTGATGATACGATGCAAAAATCCCTTTCTTTGTTGCCTAGCAAGTAGAATTTCGCAGATAGTTTTTCGCCTATTCAATGTCTCTGGTTGGCTTTAGTTCACATGGGACCCATTTTTCTTCCTTGTAAACCTTTCCCAAGGCTTTCAAACGATCGGAAATGACAGATTGAGCACAATTTAGTGCTTGCAATTCTTCGTTTTCGAATGCTCTTGGCCGTCCAGAGCATTCCTCCACATCAAAATCACCACTTTTAAAGCGTCGAAAGCATTCTCTGCATGTTTTATCAAAAGGAGCCATAAACTTCTATAAGTATTTGATGAGCTTCAGCTGCAGTTTTCTTCTATTTGAAGCAAAAGATTAACACTTGGCGCAAATGATGCTTATTTGGCTCGAATTTCGACATTTTCGATGCAGTAAGAAACAATGTCATTGATGCGAACGTATACCTTTATATACTGAATTTTATTGACAGATGGTAAAACTAAAAAAATTAAGCTTGGTTTAGACATTAGAGTTACTGACAGTTCTAGCTATAGCTACTCGCCACTAGATGGACGGGACTTTCCGATTTACCTAATACTACAAATTAATTAAAAGATAATCTAATGTTTCTCTCGTACTCTTTCCAGGTAACCTTTGATCAATTAATCAAGAAATAAAATAAATTCTTAAGAAAACAAAAGAAAGCGGGTAACTTACTCTAATTGTGTGCTGTGACTTTGGTATTGGTAAGATCGTAAGAGATCGGCGAGCTGAGTGGCCTGTGGATCAGCTTCCAAAAGATCGAGCGGCGTCTTCTCCTTGTGGTTCTTCACCTGCTCAAGAAGCGTGCAGCTTCTGTCTATGCTCACCAAAAAACAAGCTAACGCTAATTCAGTCTTTGCACCTTGCCTCGCCAGGGCCTGCCAGATCTGTGCGAGAGGGGGGGGGAAAAAAGTCACTTACTAAAGAAGAGAGATAAGCCTGTTTTCTTTTTTTATCTCTAATTTTTCTTAAGGAAATAGTTAATACAAGGTGAGACAATAACCATCACCACCTTGAATATCTTCGGATTATGAGAGTAGGAGAAAAATTTACCCAGCAGAAATTGCATCGATATCAATGGTCATCACTTTGAACATCTTCTGTAGACTTTCTTTATCCTCATCTAGTTGTTAATAAAATATTTTTATTTTTCAAGGATGTTCAAGATGGTTATTATCTCACCCTGTGCAAGACAAATAATTACAAAGATATAAAATTACAGAAAAATAAAAGGAAAAGGTTTTGTAGATATTCAATCAGAAGATATCATTAAAGGGCCAGTAAGATGCATTTCAGCTTTGACTTGCGAGTCATGTTTATGTTTTTATTTACTGGACTCGCTATGGTTGCGGAGCCATTGAAGATGGTCCAGAGGCCGAACCGTTTGGATATTAATGTGAAATATCGTAAATTATTCAGAGTAGCCTAGTAATCGTGGTACTAATAGGGAATCAATATGTATTTTGCATGAAATTGATGTTGCTTCTAAATACACAAGTTAGATATGATCTGTATCAAGAAATTTTTTTTTAATTGATTTTCTTGAAAACAAAGCAGGGTTTTCAGAGAAAATGAATGTTGAAATTCCCATTACTTTTCCGTGTTTTCCGGGAACAGTGAACAATTTTCCACGACCAATAGGAAAAAAGAATACAGTTATGATGAAAAAGAGCAGTTGAAACGCTGAATAAAATTGACCAATCACACTCGATGAACAATCCCTTTCGAGGAGGAACGCCTATTCTCGAGGAACAATCGGCTACGATTTTCTCTTACCGTTTAAATTTTCTATGTGTTACGCCCGTAACACATTAAAAAATGACTTGTAAAGTGCACAAATTTTGAACGTATTTGACTGCAAATGTTAGATATAATATTAAAAAAATTAGAAGTACTCTTTAGACTAAGAACATTTAAAAGAATTGTAAGTAAAGTTCCAAATTCCAAATTTCCTACATCTTCCCTGACTTTTCCCCGACTTCTCCAAGTTTTCCCTGACCAATTAAAATTTTTACGGCATATCCTGGTTCCCCAGGTCTGTGGTAATCCTGGCAAAGCCTTACATGAAAAACTTTTATTCTACATTTTTGGTTTATTTTTTCAAAAGAAATCATTCCCTCTTCAGTTGTACCATAATTACTGGGCCAACATGTGGGTGTTCTTAAAGATTTTTTTATTTTATTGTAAAATATCCGTTCTTACGCCTCTTCTTTGGCCCTTTAATAATATCTTCTGATATAAAATCCCAGTTGAGAGAACAAAGAGGTTCATGTGGAATAGCAAGAACAACGACTCGCCCGCATAATTGACGAGTTGAATATCATAGTCGAGAAGAGGAAGTCATAAAATCGTACCGCGTATATAAGCGGCGAGTCCCGGTTGCTCTCGGTTGTGGGCACGACGGTCTGTTGATTCGGGCTCTTGGCGATCGCGATATGCAGCACAGTGTCGCCGTCTTCGTCCGCACAGGCGACGTCCGCATTGTGATGCACTAACAGCTCGACCAACGACCAATGACCCTGCGAAGTCGCCAGATGCAGCGGCGTCTGCTGCCGGTTGTTGCGCAAGTCAACCTTGGCGCGGCCGCCGTTCTGCGATAAGAGTATCGCCGCGACTTCCTTGTGGCCGTTCAACGCCGCCAAGTGCAACGCCGCGAAGCCGTCCTCCTTCTTCATGTCCACCAGGTTCCGAGTACGCGCCACTAACTTCTCCGTAGCGCTGCAAATTCATGTGGACACTGTTAAGCTAGATTCTAGCCGTGCTTAAGCCGTCGAAAGTTGAGTCAATTGATTTTTGGTCAGTCCGTATCTATTTTCTTCGAAATCTTTTCAAGTTTTACCAGCATATTAATCGAAATACAATCTGCACACATGTAAAATTAAAGAAAGATTGAGAAACCGTCCCTGAAACTTAAATATTTAACCACATAACACATATGTCTAAAAGATATCTCAGAGACGTCTTAATGTTCTCTGAATGAAATTTAAGTTAACGCTATTTATATATATCACAAGTACGAAAAAGTTTTTAATTCTAATGTAAACTACTTTTACAGTTTTAGTGAAAAAAATGAAAAAAAAAATTGATAATAATTATAATAATAAAAGAGAAACTTGTAGAAATTATTAGATTAATTATACACAGATTAATTATATGTGTTATATTTTGTTCTGTCCTTCTTTGTTAGATATCTTAAAAATATAATAGTTAAATGATCTTAAAGATCCCTAATTAAAAATTATAAAAATGTGAAAAATATAGACAAATACGGAAAAATCCGATGTCGCGATCATCTCTTTAACAGCGTGCATTCATGTGCCTATCGGGACTTGTGACAAATATATTCACAAACCTGTCTAATACGGGCAATCCCAGTTAAATCCCAGTTAAGAGATTATTTCTTTACGAGTTTTTAAACATTATATAAGTTTCATCGCCTGCGTTCAGCAAGGAAAATAGTTCAATGAGCGTTTGATGATTATTGCTTCTGAATGAAAAATTTCTCTGGATCTACCAAGAATCTGAAAGAACAATCCAATCACTAACGATAATCACACACAACATTCGTTAAGTTTCTTTCTCTGCTGAACGGGACCATTGATATTCTCTTGCTTCAAAACTATCATAAATCATGTCTATAAACGTCTAGCACAGATTTGTCGAGTTCCTTCCTGTTGTATCAACCATTGCCTTTCCAACAATAGTGTCATAGACTACCTTAATTTGGAAAGAAAAACGACGCATCTCAAATTTGTTTTAATGGGCTTGCAGCATGTTTCGGACCAGGTAATCGAACTATTAGCATCAAGATGATGTTGCCGATTGTGCGTCGACAAACTCAGTCCGAACGCATCCGAACAAAAACCAAGGAGTGAGTGATTAATGACCGATCAGCAGCTTCGACTGCTGCGTGGAACTCCGCCGGAGCTCCCTTCGCATACATACTGAGCGTTGCCCTTGAGCGCGGCGTGATGCAGGACGTTGAAGCCGCGTTTGTTCCGCAGCTTGAAGTCCACTCTCTCGCAGGCGCACAGTGCGTCAATTATGTCGAGCGCGTCCTTTCCGATCGCGTCGTGCAGCGCCGTGTCGCCGTAAGAGTCCTGCAGATTGACGTCGCAGTGGTAGCGCAATAGCATCTTCACGCATTGCGCGTGCTGCTTGTTTACCGCCACGTGCAAGGCACTGCATCTGCCGTTGTTGACGGCGTTAATGGTCGCACCCCGAGACAACAGCAGTTCCATCACCTCAGGTTGATTGCTAAACGATCGAAGGGGAGAGAACTCAATATGACTGGTTCGATAAACCGCGCATCAGGCCGATGATCCATATAATAAGGCTCAGTTTTTCATTTCCTGGTTAACTTGTGGTTTAGGCTTAATCTATGGTAACGTAAACATTGTTTTTCTATTCATATATAATCAATAGATTAAAAAAAATTACCGGTACAAAACCATCAGTTTAATGATTAACCGTGAATAGAGAAACACAATTTTTGCATTATCATCAGTTTAAGTGTAAACCACGAGTAAACCAGAAAATGAAAAACCAGACCTAAATGTAGTAAGATTTTTACTTTATACATTAAACTGTAACGGAATTTCGAGCAAAAAACGTTTCGTACGGCACCAGATGTTGCAGTTTCTAAGATTTAGGCGTTATTACGACTTTCGGCAGTGCGAGAAACGCCTTTTGTCAGAAATTATATTTTATCGCTTGGAGCGAAAAGAACTTAACTGAAGCTGAAGGCTTATTATATACTATAATATACAGCTATATTGCAGAGATCCGGACTTGGAGCCTTATCTAAGCCTTATAGCGAATTCAATCGCACGCACTACATCAGATTGATAAATGCTAAAGGCTGCTATATATGAAGTAATATTTAAATGAAAAAAACATATGAACATTTTGAACAATTAAATACCTAATAATAATTAGAAACGAGAAAGAAGGCAAATAAGAGCCAACGTTGATTGTTATTTGTGGTAACATTTAACAATAATGTAGACAATTATTTCAAATATAAACGACAAATATAAAAGACGAATGTTTCAGCCATATCGTGTGGACCTTCTTCAGCACAATATGCGATTTAAAACTGAACTCAGATTAAAGAAATATACAAAACTCAAAAAATGTCTTCGAAACTATGTTAATTTGAAGTTGTGGTTAATGTTGACTTTTCCGTCTTGGCTCAAACGGCCCGATGTGATCAGTCTGTTGTCTTTAAATTTGTTATATTAGGACAAAAGCAGAAATCAAAGATTCTAACATGTAAATGTTCAATCTTATTCAGCAATTGCCTTGGTCTAGTCTGTACTAGTCTCGTTTGTACTATGTATATAGACACAGCGACGAATATCTGTATGTCAATGATATATTATTTAAACAGTGTCAGGAGACCATCTAAAATAATCAAAACAAACAAGATAGCGAAGAAAATGGTTTGACCTTCTAGTAGTCTATCGATAATATGCGAATAATCTTTGTTTAGATTTATCGTGCCTTTTTGTAAATTGAGATTATTTTCACAGCACACAAAATAAGCATGACGAAAGGAAGACGACTAATTAACACCTCTAAATTAACATAGATCTGAAGACACACTTTTTTAGTTTTATACAATTCTTCAACCTTAACCTCTTCAGAGATGAATTAAAAATTTTTGATTTATGATCTGCTCTAATGGAGTGCACAAAAAAAAAAGATACCTTATTTGTGAACCGATTGTGATATGTAGCCATCATGGCCTACTTTGATAACGTTTAATTTTTTAATTTCAAAAATTTTTGTAATTATAAATAACGGTAATTTTTAAATAAAACTAAACGTACACATATGTGTCAATATCCCTGAAGAGGTTAATTCATTTTTAAACTGTATGTTGCGCTGAAGAAGGTCCAAACGATGTAACCGGAATATTCATCTTCTAAATTCGTCATTAATACTTAAAATAATTTTCTATATTATTAAATGTTACTGCAATCACTGGCGTTGACTCTTATTTGCCTTTTTTCTTGTTCTTCGTTTGGTTGTATACCTTGAGAGCCGTCACATTTATTATTCCTAATAATGACATAGCAGCCTTTAGTATGCACTAATCCGGCGTAGTGCAAGTGAACGAATTCATTATCAGATATTTACAAAAAATTTGGAAGGCCATTAAAATGTTTTCCATCTGCAAATTACAAATATTATTGTAAACAATATATTCATAGTTATCTGTGATCGTTTTACTGTATCAAGTTGAGAATGACAACCGTTGTTCTAAAAGCTTAATAAGGCAGATGAATTGCTCGGGCGGGAATAATCCCAGGCGTAGAATTATGGAATTGACCCAAAACATCTCAATAATAATCTCGATATAAACGGTATGAACGTTAAGTACGGCCTTTTCAGGGCCAAATTCAAGCGTAAAAAGGAATGGCACAGAGTGACACCAAACTGCCGACCGAATGTTAATTGATCAGTTGTCATACCTGTAAATTTGACAGTAGTCACGTGTTCAACGTCATAATAAATTATTCGCATACATGTTTTTCCCTTTTTCATCTATCTATCGTACACACACACACACACACACACACACACACACACACACACACACACACACACACACACACACACACACACACACACACACACACACACACACACACACACACACACACACACACACACACACACACACACACACACACACACACACACACACACACACACACACACACACACACACACACACACACACACACACACACACACACACACACACACACACACACACACACACACACACACACACACACACACACACACACACACACACACACACACACACACACACACACACACACACACACACACACACACACACACACACACACACACACACACACACACACACACACACACACACACACACACACACACACACACACACACACACACACACACACACACACACACACACACACACACACACACACACACACACACACACACACACACACACACACACACACACACACACACACACACACACACACACACACACACACACACACACACACACACACACACACACACACACACACACACACACACACACACACACACACACACACACACACACACACACACACACACACACACACACACACACACACACACATCGACTATTTACGTGGCTTTATCAAGATTCATAAACAGTCGGTTGCGATATTAAAAAATTTACTTGACGTCTCGGAATTCAATGCGTAGGTTTTTGCTGCATCGCTGTTCAGATTATCAAAATCTATATATCGCCGTCAGCACGAAAATGAAGGGTCACGACTCATGTATTTGCCTGGAAGATCCATCAAGGGTTCACTTCGAAGTTACCACACCAGCAGCTTTATCCCCTGGATACAACGATTCGTCAGGAGGCCGTGCACAATCTCATACGACAAAAAATCTGTGTAAACAATTTGCGTCTTGTGGATCACGTTCGTCAAGCTTGACTTTATTTTTATAATTGATATCATTCTTAACTGTTGACGTTTATTCAACTACTGAAGAAGATTACCAGTTGACCGAAACATCAATTATTAGTTATTGTTAAATAGTAGATTGTTTACTGCAATATCTGATTATCGCACAATTGCGTTATAGTAAGGCTCTCATTTGCCATTCCTTTCTACGTTTGAGTCTGATCGCGATATACCCGAACGCTGCGTAATGTAAAGGAGTGTCTCCGTCTTCGTCCACTGCCCGTAAAGAGGCACCGACGTCCAGAAGAAGGCTGCAAAGATCGCGCTGGCCTTGATGCGCGGCTACTTGCAAACATGTTTTCTTGCCACCACCGGGAGCACGCGCGTCCACCCTGCTCGGATATTTCTTCAGGAATTCACGCACGGCGGCTACACCAGCCTCACCTCTAGCTGCATCCCTTAACAGTTTCTCCACTTCGCTGTCGGTACCCTCGGCTGCGTGAACGATATGAGACAATTAGGTCAAAAAGAAGCTCTTTTTATCGCAGATATCGTTTAAGGAGAGTTGGTTAATTTTTATTTTTAACCAAGTCAAGTTAAAAGTTAATATTAAGTTATTAACTTATTAATGTTAAAAGTTAATTATACAAAGCCACATACACATATATGCTTTTTTGCATAATTAAAAAATGTCTACTCAAGCCCAAAAATAAAATTCCTTGAAAATTCTCCGATTTTCCAGATTATAATTTACTTTAATTTCAGGTAAAATGAAAGTTTTTTTTTAATATATCTTGCAATTTAATATATATTTATTATGCAAAATCTTTAATATTTTCTATTCATAAAAGTTTATAAATCATAAAATAAAATTAAGAATCACTCGAATTTCAAAGATTAAATTTGAAAAATTTTGAAAGAGAGAGACTGTAAGGACTCCGCAAAATAAATATTTTATATTACATGAAATTTTCAAATTCTTTTCAACAATTGCAAATAAAAAAATTATGTAATGACTAACCGATACAAAAAATGCAACTTTTATAAAACTGTTAAAATAAATATCTGGTCTTAATTAAATAAAAGGCACCTAACGAAATTATTGTTTTCAATACTAAATATCAGATCATTAAAACCAGTAGCTCCAAACATCAGAGTAATATAAACATTTAAATTATATAGATATGCAGGTAAATACATACGTAGATATGTAGAAC